ATTTTAGTCTCAGCTTCAGTTTTGGACAGCAAGTCACAAGATAAAATGGCAATTAGGAATTTCCTGAAACTTTAGAGATCAATCTAGATATCAAACAACTAAATAGGTAAATAAATAAATAAATATCAAACTAAAATCCAATTACCCCCATTTAAGTAACACTTAATATAACTTCAACAGAAGCTTTACATATATAATTTTAAAACACTGCATTTCAAGGGACAAAATATCTTAGAGATTATTCATCTTATCAATGCAAATTTTACTGAGCAAAGAGTTATGAAAGACCAAAAAAAAAAAAAGTGCATGAGACTGGATCCCAGGCCTCAAGACCTTACAGTCTATTAAACATTATGTAAATAACTATAACCCAATTCAAGTTAAAAACAATAAAAGATAAAATCAGAATATACTATCAGAGAGACTGAAGTAGGGTATTAAGGGAGTTTGACACACAGAAAGGATTACTTCTGATCATAGCACAGTGGTTAAGAGCATAAACATGAGAGTCATACAGACCTGAGTTCAAGTCTTGACCACTCCACTCCCTAGCTATGTGACATTAGACAAGTTATTTAACCTCACTGAGCCTCAGTTTCAAAATCTTTACAATGGGGCGATAACACCTACCTCTCAGAACTGATATATAGGATTAAATAAAATGAAATATGTAAAACTCTTAATACAGTTCCCAGCACACTCCCAGGGTTAAATGCTAGCAGTGGCTTCCAGTCCCAGACCTATTATTTCTCCAACTCACATGCCTAGCTACTTCTCTTACCAATGCTCCTTAATTGCTCTGGTCCAATGCCCTGCTAGATCCTACTACCAACTCTTCTTTAAAGATGAAGAGATGGACTTTGAGAAAATGGGGAACATGCCCAATGCCATACAGACTCCTGATTCCTCGGGAAATGACTGCCCCTTCCTCAGCAGGCCCACAGCATTTGTGAATCCATCTTCCCTACAAGCTCACCAGAGTCAGATGGATGCCTCATGGGCTTTAAAGTTAGATGGATCAGAGTTAGAATCCTAACTCAAACCTTTTCTAGCTGTGTGAATGCTGGCGAGCTACTTTCCCCCGAGTTTCAATAATCCCCACCCTAAGAATTACTGTGACAATCTAGTGACTCACTACTTTGACTTCCACACTCGCTCAGACAGCGGAGCCAGTCTAAGGGCAGAATATCAGAAATCTTGGTATACTTAACTGTACCACATGAACCAAGAATTATTCTACTAGGAGAAATTACAACTACATTATATACATACTGCTTCCCAAATATTGTGTGTGTGTGTGTGTGTGTGTGTGTGTGTACACATATGTGTGTATAAATATATACACACATGTTTTTTAAATCATTGTTCTAAGTTTATTGATTAAATGCTTGTTATTCATTAACTTTTTTTTTTCTATTTGCTAATTTAACTTAACAAGTAGTAGCAGGTACCAAAAGTTCAGGAAAATATAATGGAAAAAAAACCCGTAAGGATTAGAAAATTCTATTCATGATTTATTTTGGAAGGGATGGGTCAATGAATATCATTACTGAATGTTAGTGGTCAAACGCCTCATTTGAGAATATCCAGAATATCACATAATACACACTGAATATATGTTATTTGAATCTGAATTTGAAACTCAAATTAAGTTCCCTGAAAGCAAGAGCATATCTCATTCATCTTTGTATAATGAGCTCCTAACACAGTGCCTGGCACATGGTAGTTGTGCAAAAAATGCTGGCTTAATAAGTGAACCTAAAATTGAGAAGGCATGCAAAGGTCTATAATTCATTTTGCATCTCCAATTAATTTGGATTTCAATTTGCTCCAATAAATTATATTCCAAAGTCTATGAAATGTTCCTTCTGTACCCATCACCTCATCTGAGATATTAAGAGCTTCTTGGGAGGGAGAAATACATGGGTAGAATCCTTCCTTAGGCACAGAAATATTGATGAAGACAGCTAAGCGGGAGGAAGATGTCACCTGCACTCTTGTAATATAACAAAGGGACCAAAGAAGACACAAGCTTTATACACAGTACCCGTCAAACAGTGACATTTACCATTTTTAACACATATTTAGTCCCACAAGCCTCCTGTTCAGAACATGTCTGGTTACAGTAAACCCAGTAGAGATTGTAGAAGGTGAATCCTAGTCGATTCTCTGTTCACAGATGAAAAACCCACGCCATATATTTCACATATTCATACTCCCTTCTAACTGAAAGCCAGGATCACCTAAAATTAAATAAAAAGCTAAGATTCAACTGTTTCTCTTTCACTAAAAATGATATTGTAGACAAGTATTTATTAGCATGGGAATTCATTATTTATTAAGTGGAAAAGAAAGGATACCAAATAATTTGTAGCATATACTACTCTGATAGTATTAACATAAAAATGAGCATATATATGTATTAAACAGGATAATAAAATAGAAGCTATTTTCTACTTCTTTTAAAATAATCCATGGTTAATTTTTCAAAAGTGCATCCACATTTTGTCAATATTATAGACTCAAGTTTCCACAAACCTACTTCAAACAATTAAATAAAATACCTGAAACAAGGAAGTCTTTGAAAACATATTTGTGATGAAGAAAAAAATAAAAGTAGAGGACAAATGGGAGTTAAAAGGAAGTGTGGGGGCCTCCCTGGTGGCGCAGTGGTTGAGAGTCCGCCTGCCGATGCAGGGGACACGGGTTCATGCCCCGGTCCGGGAATATCCCACATGCCGCGGAGCGGCTGGGCCCGTGAGCCATGGCCGCTGAGCCTGCGCGTCCGGAGCCTGTGCTCCTCAACGGGAGAGGCCACAGCAGTGAGAGGCCCGCGTACAGTCAAAAAAAAAGGAAGTGTGGTGGTTGTTTAGGGTTCTGAATTTTCCCTAAAATTACACTAACCTCCCCCCAAATAAGTCACCAATTCATTTAAGTACCCCTTAACAGTTTTCAAAGTACTGTCAGAAACATTCACCTGTGACTTTTGTAAATTTCAGAAGGGACTTCCCTCCATCTCCCCCAACCCTGCCCTCTCCCTTAATGCTGACTTCCATATAACTAGTTCTTCAGGACTAGATTGATACAGAGCATACTTATGCATTATAACCACCTTCTTTTTAACTTAAAAGTCAACTGTGAACATCCTTCTGTGCATATAAATTTTCACCTATGACATCAGTCTCAGTAAGCAGGGATCCTTCTGCCATAGTCCCTTTGGTAACACAGGGACTGTCTTTAGCTTACTGTGGTGATCAAAAGTCCTACTGATGCCTTGCTTCTACAAAATGGAAAAGTAACTTTTACAGCAATATCACAAAGGGAATATTTTGGTGTAATGGAAGGAAAATATTTCACCAGGGACTATATTAAATTTTAAAGAAATGCTAAATTATTTGAAAGGAAGTTTAAGTAGCTCACTTGCTGGGGCTAAGTTTTATTTCCAATCTAAACACCACTGCAAATATTGAGATCCTAATGGCCAGAGAATTAATCCTTTGCTCTTTTCGTTCTACTTCTGTGGACAGACTGGTGACTTCCAACATAATCCTCTTTCAAATATCCTTCCAGAATGGAAAAAATATCCTTTATTTTAAGGTTAATATGTGAATACAAGGCTAAAAAATTCAACTAAATATATTGCTATCATTTTTTTTTTAATTCCACTGACAATAGTATTTCAGTACTGCAAATATTTCACTGTAACAAAAAGAAAATGTTTTTGGAGAAAATTTTCGAAGTCCTTGCTTTCATTGGATTTATATTTTAGCAGAGACTTGATGGCTCTCAGAAACTGTTTTCGTGGTGTGTGTATACTCCGTGCGTGTATGTAATATTTTTTCAGTACATCTTATTTAACTTCAAAACAGCTTCATAATTAAAGACCCTTACCTTATTAAAATTATTTCAAGTAACACACAATTTAGTTATAAATAAATTTATACTACAAACAATATAACAATAAAATCTGATCTTACTGTTTAATGCTTCTATGGAACTTCTAGAGTATAGTTCTTTTCTGTCTTGTTTTGTTTTAGGAATGTTTCACCTATCTCATTTGTACTGTCAGAAATGTAAAGGAGCTGCAATACACAAAGAATACAAAGTTTAGAAAACTATCTAGTGATTTAATGAGCAAACAGTTCCTACTGTCAATGATATTGCTTCTGGAATACACCAGAAAGGAGGTGTGTGTGAACGCACGTGCGTGAGTGCGCGTGTGTGTGTGTGTGTGTGTGTGTGTGTGTGTGTGTGTTGTTTCACTTACATTCTTATGGGCCACTCACATTTCCAAGTACTATCTACAAAAAAGTAGACTGTATTAATTTTAGGGCCCATTTTACCTTTCTCTTCAAAAAGATCAGGGAAATAAACTGAACTTTATGGCACCAAACAATTTTTTCTACAAGATAGTCAAGCCATTCACACAGGTTTCTCAATTAAACTATCTTAGAGTTTCTCGAAAAAGTTATAAAACAATAAAACTGACAGACGCATCAATTCTTCCAAAACCAAGCTACATGAGGGACTTACTGAACAAGTGATTCTACATTTTATTTTCCTTTCTAGACAAGAAAAGAACCAAATGGATTACATTCTTATTCTAAAAAATTCAGAACCAAAGAGCTTATCTACAAGTCTAAAACTCCTGAAGCTCAGAAAACTGGACTCACTCTTCTGTCACACCATATTACACTGTCTTGCCTTTAGAGTTTAGTTCATCTACTGAGCACCTAATAAAGGTTTTATCACAACCTTGAGGACTCAGTTTATGAAATCCCTAAGAAATGGCACATTGCAGAAAGTCATCCTAATCTCTTGAAAGGTTTTTTTTTTTTTTTAAAGGTCTCCTGAGTCCCTTTCCATGTTTCAAGTCTGTAAGAGCATATAAAACTTACAAAGCCAGGAAAGAAAGGAAGTAGAAAAGTCACAGACAAACTGTTAACTTTCTGAGAGAAATTTAACAAAATTTTTAAAAAGCAAAATAGAAAATTACTTACTTTTCCCAGGTCTTTGGTACAAAGCTCAGAAGGCAATTTCCTTTTTCCCACAGTCTTGTTAATTAATAGCAATCACTCAATGAGGTCAGGCAGCCCGAATATATCTAGAAATTGTGTAGAGACAAAAAGTTAACATTCAAAGTCAGATTAGAAATTAAAAATCAAAACACCCCATTGCTATTCACAGTCTCTGCATAATTAAAATACAGATTTCATTGGAATATCTAAATGATGAGCTATATTAGCTACTTTTCTTTCAGAACAATACTAACAAGACTTGCTAAATCTAGATGGTGTTTTGATCTGTCGTCTAATTAAAGTTACTAAAGCCGGAATCAGCAAGGCTTGTTGGCAACCGTTCACGATAAAAATGTCCTTCTCAGGGAGTTCTAAAAAGCAACTTAGGGAGGATGTGGACTTCTAATTATACTGTGACTTGGGAGGGAAGGTCTTCCGAAATCACACTTGCCTGCCTCACCTTCCAAAGATGAGCTCATCTGACAAACACAGAAGCAGCTGTAAATAGAAGCGAACAATAACAACTTATAGAAATTCATCAACAACTTGTAAATGCCCTTCAGATGTATCCATTGAAGCACACTTCACTTTTGCAGGTGGGAATGAGAAGAGAGAGGCGTGTTAACTTTTTTTTTTTTTAATAAATTTATTTATTTATTTATTTTTGGCTGCACTGGGTCTCTGTTGCTCTGCGCGGACTTTCTCTAGAGTTGCGGTGAGCGGGGGCTGCTCTTCGTTGCGGTGCGCGGGCTTCTCACTGTGGTGGCTTCTCTTGTTGTGGAGCACAGGCTCTAGGTGCACGGGCTTCAGTAACTGTGGCACGCAGGCTCAGTAGTTGTGGCCGAAGGGCTCTAGAGTACAGGCTAAGTAGTTGTGGCGCACGGGCTTAGTTGCTCCGAGGCATGTGGGATCTTCCCGGACCAGGGCTTGAACCCATGTTCCCTACATTGGCAGGCAGATTCTTAACCGCTGTGCCAACAGGGAAGTCCCAACTTTTTTCTAATAAAACAGAAAATCCAAAAATTCTGCATGATGATAATCTCACTTAAAACATAAGTTACTTCCCCCAACAATCCTGTGAATGAATACATAGGTAATAAATCATTCATAAGATAAATGAGTTTAAGTAGGTGTAACAGATGCCACAGGTAAACCATAACCTAAAGTCTGTGCACCTGTCAGCCTCTCCCACACTGGGTGGCACATTAGATGTAATTCTAAGAAGCGTGATAAATTCATTTAAAAGCCATAAGAGATTGAGAAATAGGTCCTTTAGGAGGAGGCAGGAAGCACTGCCACGGTAGGCAGTCAGAATCCCACAGACATCAATAGTCATCATTTATTATTACTGTTACTGTTACTGTTACAGTTTAGAGTTACTATTACGTTACAATGTTATTGTTACACTTACACAGTATCCACTCTCAAGCCAGATTCTTCTCTAAGTGTTTTTACATGTATTAACTCCATTTAGGATAGAGAAGAGCAGAAATATCCCCTAGACATCACCCTGGTGCCACACAGTACACTCAGTTCTCCTATAACACTCGTGTTTGTTCCAAGGTTGATACAGTAGGGAGCAACTTGAGCATAACTTGATTTTGACATTTGTTTAGGTATGATTTCACTGCAAGAAACATTAGGTAATAGCAGAAGATTGCACGGGGCGGAACCCAGCTGTCTAAGGATACACAAAGGCACAAAACCCACGCCCCAAATATCTGTTGGCGATCTCAGTCCCCCCAACATGTGCCGAGTCACAGCCCTCCAAGCTGGGTGCCCCAACTTTCCTTCTGATTTCAGGTAACCCTCCTTCCACCACTTCACAGTGACTCACAAACTGCAACCCTTCCAGGGCCTCAGTCCACAGGAAACGTCACGACTTTCTCAAGGTAAAATGCCATATTTAGTCCACTTTTTATCTATTTACTTCTTGACCAACTAATATGTGTAAAACTGTGCTCCAATTTTTATTCAGTTCCCATCTTACTTTTTTTTGATGTGTCACTGATAAAGGTTTGTTTTTTTTTTAATTTATTTTTGGCTGTGTTGGGTCTTCGTTGCTGTGCGCGGCTTTCTCTAGTTGTGGCGGGAGGGGGCTACTCTTTATTGAGGTGTGCGGGCTTCTCATTGCGGTGGCTTCTCTTGTTGCAGAGCACGGGCTCTAGGCGCGCAGGCTTCAGTAGTTGTGGCACGTGGGCTCAGTAGTTGTGGCTTGTGGGCTCTAGAGCGCAGGCTCAGTAGTTGTGGCGCATGGGCTTAGTTGCTCTGCGGCATGTGGGATCTTCCCGGACCAGGACTTGAACCCGTGTCCCCTGTGATTCAGTCAGCTGTGGCCAGGTCGGTAGGACCATGTGACAGGTTTTCCTCACAAATGGCTCTATGAGTGGTGCAGGTAACCTGCTAGTGTTGGAGGGTCTCCTGCAGAGGCGGGTGGTGACTGTGTCTCACAGTGGGGACAAGGACACTGGCAGCAGAAGTTCTGGGAAGTACTCCTTGGCGTGAGCCCTCCCAGAGTCTGCCATCAGCCCCACCAAAGAGCCCAGGTAGGCTCCAGTGCTGGGCTGCCTCACTGATAAAGGTTTTTGAGTGTTATGTCCCTGATCCTACTTTTCCCTTAAGCACTGGGGGGTTTACTGCATAGCACGGTGGTTTTTAGAAACACATATATTGCATTTTAGCAGAACTGACTGTATAATAAGTAGTGTTTACAAGGATGCTTGTGTGTTGTGTGTTTTGTTTTGTTTTTCGGGTTTTTTCTTGGCCATGCCACATGGCTTATGGGATCTTAGTTCCCCGACCAGGGATCGAACCCAGCCCCATGCAGTGAAAGCGCTGAGTCTTAACCACTGGACCACCAAAAGAAGTCCCAGGATGCTTGTGATTTAGACCAGAGGGGTTAAATTATGATTTTCAAATGGGATCTTAGTTCCCCGACCAGGGATCGAACCCAGCCCCATGCAGTGAAAGCGCTGAGTCTTAACCACTGGACCACCAAAGGAAGTCCCAGGATGCTTGTGATTTAGACCAGAGGGGTTAAATTATGATTTTCAAATACTTTCATTATGTTAAAGAGGATAGCAATATATGTAATTTAATTTTAGAAAGAATCACACTCACATGCTTTACAATAATCTAGTATGGACACTTTTAAGGGTGTTTCGGTTATGTGAAAAATTTATTTATGAGAAGTTCCGTAATGGTGTTGTTAGATAAATGAAGCGTTACTGCACCATTCCGGACAGACCAACATGATGGTATTATAAAGATACAATTCTTGCAGACAAGAGGACTTAGCCAGAACTGCTAGAGAGGAGAAACTGAATTATTTGTCATTCCTTGAAACCAAATAATTTTTAAAAGATTAAAGTTATCCGTAAAAAAAAGTCCAAGATATACATAAAGATATGTACAAAGAAGTTTTCCATTAAAGTAATAACATTTTAAGCAATTTTAAAATATAAATATTCAGCAACGGATAAAGCTTTTTAAAATCTGTAAGATATTTAATAAAATGAGAAAATGTTTTTAAGCAGTGTTCGCTGGGAATGCAGACTATAAGAGGATTTGTTCCATATGATCTCAATTTTGTTTAAAAGTATCTATACCTAGAAAAAAAGACTAGAAAGAAAAAAAGTCAACATTTGTGTATAGTTGCTAATTAGAGATAACAGAATAAGGATAGAATAATTTTTATTTTCTTTGCATTTTCCTGTGGTTCCCAAATTTTCCACAATAATCACATCTACTTTTACAGTTAGAAATAACCATACGCTATATAAAAATAGGACTAAGGCATTTGGTGGGGAAAAAAAACCTCTTTTTATCCCCACTTTAATTCTGAATGTGACTCCAGCCAGTAGAATGAACACCAGCCCAAGAACAAGGGTACCAGATGCTTCCTCCACAGGTATTAACAGATCCAGTCACAGAAAGTATTTTCTATCTCATAATTCAAGGGCAAATACAGTCCCAAGAGATGTTCAAAGTATATAAATCCGTTTTAGAGGCCAAAATATAATTTGCTTTTACTGCTTAAAACAGTTATAGATTTAGTAAAATCCAGATGAAAGAAGACTTTTAATTATATAATTGCATATTAGCTGTCTTAATGTCTGAAAGAAATTTAGTTATGAATGAAGAAATTGTACTCTGGATAAAGCTCCTTTCAAACAAGATCAAGATTAAAGAAATCCAAGAAGCAATGGATTCGGTCGTGGGGATGAGTGCCTCACTCGGGGAGTTTTCGATAGAAAGTAAGAAAGAGATACTGATCTTTACGACCTCCAAAAGAACTCAGCTGTATTAAAATTTTCCCAATAACCATAAAACTGGACTTTGAAAATAATCCATTTGCCAAAAACGGTGACTCCTTATTAGTCATCAGTCTGCTTAGTTTAATCCCATGCACTGAAATTGCATAAGAACTAAATGGTGAAACTACAATACTCTGAAGTCAAGGGCCAGTGTGGAACAATCTGGCCACCACACAACCTGAGTTCACTTACCTATACTGGCCAGCAGCACATTTAAAGGATGTGCCCCTTTCCATCTTCAGCGTAGCCTTACTCACATCAAATACCCAGTAACTATTTGGTGTAGAGCAATTGCTTTAGTACCACTCTCCATTCTCAAGAATGCACTGAGGATTAAAAATCAGTGATTGTGTGTGTGTGTGTGTGTGTGTGCGTGTGCGTGTGTGTGGTTTTGTTTTATAAAATTATAAAGCATCTGTAACATGCAGTGTATACATCTGAATAATAACCATAT